TTTTTTTTTTTTTTTTTTTTTTTTTTTTTTGCAGCTCTACTGTTCATTACTCATTAGGTTTAGAGATAGCACGTTTTTGCTACATCATGGGAACCATTTTGCAGAAAACATCAGGCTGCTGTTGCTAAAAAGGGTCAGGTTGGTACATGTGAGGTTAATGTTAGGGTAAATGGTCAGGTTTAGGCTATAAAACTACCAGAAAATCAATGGAAGTCAATCTAAGGTCCCCACGGAAATATAAAAAGAAACTTGTGTTTGTTTTCCGGTTTTTGCAGGTATGACAAATGATTTAATATGACATTTAATGTTAGTCTGCCCTGCTTACAAATATGAGTCAGCAGGTGAAGTCTGGGCCACATCACTAGAAACATAAATAAATCTGACTTTGAATTTAAAGACTTTATTTGTTAAACATAACCAAGCCACGGAGATTCTGTCTTATGCCTTAGTCACTTCTGAAATTAAAAAAAAATAATAATAATGTTTGTGCCTAAAATATAGATCAAGTATTTTGGAATGATTAGATTTTTTAAGCATGTTGTGTGGTAAAGCAAGTGAGTTTTATTCTGAGATTAAAAAGACTCCATGAATAACGGGTTCTAGCCTCTACATTACAAAAATGTTTAAAGAGAGCATTCACATTTTTCAAGCTATTTATAACTTTTTTTATAAGGAATAAATTGATTAGAGGTGGCAATTAAAATACAACAACAACAACAACAACAACAACAATAATAATAATAATAATAATCCAGCATTTGAACATCTTCAAGTATAGTTATCAACCATCTATCTTTATTAAACTGCTTCAGCAGTTGAAACACAAAGCTTAAGCAATATGAGTGATGGTGTGTTTTTGTGCTTTTTCTGTCCTCAGATAAAATTTCTGAAAGTTGAGATGGAGAAGAAAACYAAAATAATCAAGGATTTACAACAAGAGGTGAGTCAGAATCATTACAGTTGTTTGGGGGCTTACGCTACATTTTGAAAACCCTCTACTAAAGTATAGACAATGTTTTAATTGACCCATCAGAAAGCCAGTCTCTTTGCTTTGTTCACCTTCATTTAAGACTTTTCTGAGTTTGCCAAATTTCTTCTGACAATCCCAAGAAGCAGACTAGAGTTTGTTGCTTTCAATCAGAGTTGGCCATAACACCAGCAGGAACATGTGGATTTTGCCCACCACTTTGTGAACATCGAAGTGTGTCTTTGATCCTCGTTGCAGTCATGATTGTTGTATCTAGTGTAATATCGGTCTCTCCTCTTTTGCTTTCTCTTTTTAAAAACATGTTCATCATTAGAGCAAAGGAGTTATCATGAAAAGAATTTCCTTTGAATCTGAGGATCTCATTAAATCCATATGATGTTTACAGAGCCTGCTTCAGACAGCTGAGACTGTTAGTCAGACTAATACCAAGATTGTCTGAATTGAAAGTCTGGGATTCCATAATGTTCAACATTTACTTATTTATCTACCCAGGGGTGTCAAACTCATTTTCACCGAGGGCCACATGAAAGTTATTGTGGCCCTCGAAGGGCCAGGTATAATGGACTTTGACGTTTCATGTTTAACTTTGACTAAACAGAGTTTTAACTTGTTCTCTTTCAAACACTGATAAGAACTAAGTGTATGACTGMCTAAATCTGAAATAAATACAGATATATTATTAAAAGTAAAACTAATAAAGTTTTTTTCCCACTGATGAGTTTCTAGTGAGTAGCTAAAATGCATTTTGGCAGATTTATTTTATGGTTGATGGTGACTATAAAGCAGCTTATTATCAGACTGTTGTTTCCTGATAAATTGCTCAGTTACTTAAAGCCAACAGCTCAGGAGCAGGTCATTTGTTATTATCTTACACTTTTTAAGTTTATTTACTTGCATTTTAAATTTAAAGTTTACCAACAAATTTCATGTTAAGTTAAAAAAGTATATATATATATATATTCTTTTTTTAGGGGGTAACCCCCCTGGCGGGCCACACAGGAGTTACATGTGATCTGACCTATTAAAAATAAAGTTGCCATGTGCCCACCAAATGTAAAATGAATTTTCTAGATATGTCTATCTTTAAAAGTTKTCAACTGTCTTAATTGTATATTTCATTATTATTTATAAAAAAAAAATGAGTGGTTTGGTTGTGAAAAAATGAGACCGTGACATACCAATAATGTGACAAAAAATACAATTATTCTGTGGCATTGTATTGTTTTTCAGAATTGCTTAAATGTTAAAACAAAATTACTTTTAAATAATACTCAAAAAAACTTCAGAATGATATGAAACAGCTTTTGTATCATTTTTGACTAAGGCTGAACTGTTTTTGTGGCAAGGCAGCTGTAGATGAGTGATTAAGGGAGTCATCCTTTAATGAGAGAGTTGGCAGTTTGATTCCACCACTATTCAGTCACAGTTTGAAGTGTCCTTGGGCAAGACAATAAACCCACTGCCTCTGTGTCYCATCAGCATGTGAATGTGTTTTAAAGTACTGACAAGTCTCTGTCTATCAAGAATGATTTATCCAGATTAKCTTTGTAGAGATATAGTACAGTGCTGTGAGGATGGGTAAATGAGKGTATAGATTGTTTTGTAAAGAACTTTGGGTATCCTGGTTGGATAGAAAGAAGCTRTAGAAGTACAGTAAATTTACCARTTTTTTGACTTATTAGAAATGCATGTTTTTTGTTAAACAGACAAATCTTTCAGACTAATTGAAGACAAATAACCTTTGAAATTATCTTTTCAACTGAAGTACCTGGAGAATTTAATGAAACAACACTTTGGTTATTACACAAGAGTGTGTAACTACTTTTATTATTATATATCTAAAATGGAATCAAGGTTTTAAATGCTGTAAATACACTAACTGTTTCACAT